TGCAAATATGTTTGCAGAGGGGTAGCAGCCCCCAGAGGCCACTAGGGAGCTGGTGACTGTCCCTCAAGCGATGATGTTTAAAATCAGCTTGGAATTTTCTTCTTCTTCTTCTTTACTTATTTTTTATCATTATTATTATTTTATTTTTTAATCCTTATTATTATTATTATTATTATTATTATTATTATTATTATTATTATTATCGTTATTTCTCTTTTCCTTTTAGTCCCCTCTTAGTTTCTTAGTTTGTTTTTGAGGGGAGAGCCTTACCTCCCTCCATCGTCCTGATACTACTACCATCCTCTCTAAAAACTAAAATAAAATAAAAAATATCCCCCCCCCAATATCAGTCAAAACAAAAAAAATTCCTTCCAGTAGCACCTTAAAGACCAACTAAGTTAGTTCTTGGTATGAGCTTTCGTGTGCATGCACACTTCTTCAGATACACTGAAACAGAACTAGCCAGATCCTTCTATATAGTGAGAAGGTGGGAGGGGGGTATTACTCAGAAGGGTGGTGGGAATGGGTGATTGGCAGATAGCTGTGATGAGCCTGTTGACGACTCTTAACGACTGCAATAGGTCTTACAGGAAAAAGCAAGGGGTGAGAAGGTGAAAAGGTGAAAAATGGCTTTGTCATGTATAATGAGATAAGAATCCAATGTCTTTGTTCAGACCAGGTCTCTCCATGGTTTTAAGTTTGGTAATAAGTTGCAATTCAGCAGCTTCTCTTTCCAGTCTATTTCTGAAATTCCTTTGTAGTAAAACAGCTACTTTGAGTTCTTGTATAGAATGTCCTGGGAGATTGAAGTGTTCTCCTACTGGTTTCTCTGTCTTGTGATTCTTGATGTCAGATTTATGTCCGTTTATTCTTTGGCGTAAGGTTTGGCCTGTTTGTCCAATATAGAGAGCTGAAGGACACTGTTGGCATTTGATGGCATACACAATGTTAGACGATGAGCAATTAAATAGTCCCGAGATGGTATGTGTGATGTTGTTGGGGCCAGTAATGGTGTTGTCCGGGTGTATGTGGCAGCAAAGTTGGCATCTGGGTTTATTGCAGGCTCTGGTGCCAGTGTCCGTGTTAAGTCTGGTTGTAGTATTATTGTGGGTTAGGAGTTGTTTAAGATTGGGTGGCTGTCTGTAGGCAATGAAAGGTCTTCCTCCCAGAGCTTGAGAAAGAGAACTGTCATTGTCCAGGAGAGGTTGTAGATCTCTGATGATGCGTTGTACCTGCGATACATTGACGATATTTTTATCATCTGGACACATGGTCAACAGACCCTGGACACCTTCCACCAGAAGTTCAGTGACTTTTCACCCCACCATCAACTTAACAATGAATCAATCTACACAAGAAATACATTTTTGGACACTACTATAAAAATACAGGATGGGCGCATAGACACCACCTTATACCGTAAACCTCTTTAAAAGAACACATACACACACTCACACGTACACACACACATATAAGTAAAGTAAGTAAATAAATGTAGCCCTCTAGCCACACCTCATGGACTAAGGCTCTCTTTGCCAGTGGGGCTTTAGCGCACAAAAGCTCAAGCTCCAATAGATGTGTTTGTCTGTGATCTAAACCACTGAGCCTCTTGGACTTGCCGATCAGAAGGTCAGCAGTTCGAATCCCCGCGACAGCTTGAGCTTCCATTCCTCTGTCCCAGCTCCTGCCAACCTAGCAGTTGGTAGAAAGCACGTCAATGCAAATGGATAAGTAGGTACCACTGTGGCAAGAAGGTAAGTGGCGTTTCTGTGCGCTCTGGTTTCCATCATGGTGTCCATTTGCGCCAGAAGCGGTTTAGTTCTGCTGGCCACATGACCCAGAAAGCTGTCTGTGGACAAACGCCGGCTCCCTCAGCCTGAAAGCGAGATGATGTTTGCCCCTCTCAAAAGGGCTCTATACATATTTTCATTTCTACATTATTTTTTACTGTTGGCATTTGATATACAAATACGACTCCCAGGCATCACAACCTTGACATCTTCAGATCCCTCATCTCCTTCCCTCCCCCTTTCCTCTGATTTTCTAGTCCCTCTTACACTCCTAACCCTAAAATCCACATACACATACCTCCCCACACGCTTTCATTAGCAATCCTCCCTCCCCAGTGGTTTTTTACCTCATACTATAACTAGAACTGGGACGTGGGTGGAGCTGTGGGTTAAACCACAGAGCCTAGGACTTGCCAATCAGAAGGTCGGTGGTTCGAATCCCCACGACGGGGTGAGCTCCCATTGCTCGGTCCCTGCTCCTGCCAACCTAGCAGTTCGAAAGCACACCAGTGCAAGTAGATAAATAGGTACCGCTCTGGTGGGAAGGTAAACGGCGTTTCCGTGTGCTGCTCTGGTTTGCCAGAAGCAGCTTAGTCATGCTGGCCACATGACCCGGAAGCTGTACGCCGGCTCCCTCGGCCAGTAAAGCGAGATGAGCGCCGCAACCCCAGAGTCGGCCATGACTGGACCTAACGGTCAGGGGTCCCTTTACCTTTTTTATAATTAGAACCACCACTGCAACCAAGTACCGTATTTTTCGCTCTATAAGACGCACCAGACCACAAGACGCACCAAGTATTTGGAGGAGGAAAACAAGAAAAAAAATATTCTGAATCTCAGAAGCCAGAACAGCAAGAGGGATCGCTGCGCAGTGAAAGCAGCAATCCCTCTTGCTGTTCTGGCTTCTGGGATAGCTGCACAGCCTGCATTCGCTCCATAAGACGCACACACACATTTCCCCTTACTTTTTAGGAGGGAAAAAGTGAGTCTTATAGAGTGAAAAATACGGTATTTTCATCTTTCTTTGTCTCTCTCTCCCTCTTTCTTCTCCTTCCCTCATTTTCTCTCTCCCCTTTTTACTTTAGAATCAGCTTGGAAGCCACACTTGCCTCGGCCGCATTCAGAAAACCCCCACTCCCCATTCAACCACAGACCCTCACCACCTCTGTTTTCCTACTGGCACCAAGATTGTAAGGCAAGGATTCCACCCTTGGCAATACTGGCCAATGGCCTGACTTGGTGGGAGGCTCCCCATGAACCAGGTGCAAAAGCCTGCCCCCTGGTGGCCTTTGAAAAAAACAACACACAGCTCCGTAAACTCTGCTGAACTTTGCAATAGGTCACCAGAAGGCACACTGGGACACTTGGCTCCGATCCATGTGGGGCCGAGGGCAGACTTCTGTAGGCTTGGCTCCGGGCTCAATTCCTCATGCTCCTGTGACAGTCATATAAAGGCAAATAAGGATGCAATATACAAAATCACCTGCCCTTCGGAGAGGCAATCAAGGTCTATCTGCAGCCTCATGACCCTCCTGTTTAAATACTGCTTTCAAATAAAGATGTGCTGCTGCTGGGTTGCCCTGACCTTTAGAAGGCTCTAGGGTTGCATGCAAAACCACCAAGGGTGTAACCAAACCCTTCGCATGAAGGGCGCATGGTGGGGAGGTCCTCTCTCAAGCATGCGGGAGTGTTCAGCTACTGGGATAAATGCTAAAACCTGATAACTCATCACATGTGCACACGTCTGAAAAAGTCTGCAGTTCCCCTCTGCTTCTGCCAAGGTGCCCAAGGCGCAGACACCAGCAGAACCTCTGCTGCTATCCGGGCTAGGAAGGGGAGGCAGGGAAAAGGGGGGGAAGTTAAGACTTTGCTTACAGGTAACAATTGTCAGTGTGGCATAGTGGTTAGAGGGTCAGAGGGACCTGCAAGACCAGAGTTCATCCCTCTCCCTCTCTCTTTGGCGATCGCCCGTAGCCAAGTAAGATTGTCTCCCATAAACACGGTTTTAAAAGTGAGTCCATAAGTGACTGTGGAGGCCAATTCTGGATCCACACGTCCTTCCACAGTGGGGACATTGGTTTCCGGGCGGGAGTTGATCACAGTGAGGGTTTGCCAAGCGTGCCTTCCTCTTAGCACGTTTCTCCCTTGCGTCCTGAGTTCGAGTGTCTTCAAAGCCCATGACACCTTTGGTAAAGGCTGTTCTCCAAGTGGAGCGCTCGCAGGTCCATGTTTCCCAGTTGTCGGTGTTTATACCACATTTCTTTAGATTTGCCTTGAGAGTCTTTGAACCTCTTTTGTTGACCACCAGCATTACACTTTCCATTTTAAGGTTCAGAACAGAGTAGTTCATATCCCCGCTTGGCCTAGAAGCTCACTGGGTGATCTTGGGCCAGAGGCACCACCTCTCAGCCTAGCCTACTTCACAGGGCTGTTGTAGAAATTAAATATATAATTATATTTATATATTTATATAAAGTATAATTCCCAGTATACCTGAAGGAGCATCTCCACCCCCCTCGTTCTGCCCAGACGCTGAGGTCCAACGCTGAGGGCCTTCTGGCAGTTCCCTCACTGCGAGAAGCCAAGTTACAGGGAACCAGGCAGAGGGCCTTCTTGGTAGTGGCGCCCGTCCTGTGGAACGCCCTCCCACCAGATGTCAAAGAGATAAACAACTACCTGACATTCAGAAGACATCTTAAGGCAGCCCTGTTTAGGGAAGTTTTTAATGTGTGATATCTTAGTGTATTTTTGGTCTTTGTGGAAGCCGCCCAGAGTGGCTGGGGAAACCCAGCCAGATGGGCAGGGTACAAATAATAAATTATTATTATATTATTATTATAAATGAGAGAGGAGACACACACACACCCTTGATCTCCTGAAAGTCAAAGGTGGGAGATGAACCCAACAAATAAATATGTTTCCTGGATGTCCAAGGAACGTTGAAATAGTTTGTAAGGCTGAGGTACCCCCCACCTCGCAATGCCGGTTGTAATTGGCTGGCCGGATGCCCATGGAAAACCCCCCAAGCAGGATTTGAGCACAAGAGCGCTCTGTCCTCCTGTGGTTCCCAGCGACTGGAAACCTGCCATTACTGTACGTGGCTTCTTATTAACCTACGGCGTGTATTTGGTGCCAAGGCTTCTAAGCGCCAGGTGAAACCATTCCTAAGGCTCCAGGAACGCCCTCCTATCAAACATACACGAGACTCTCTTGGTGGGGGTTTAAGTGTCCCATAGATGCTTTATTTAATCAGTACATCACTTTACTGGCAGTACAAACAGTCATCACGCACACTCACACACACTTGTGGTCCCTCTTCTACGGCAGACGCGGCACAACACGTTTTTTTCTTATGTGGATGGACGGGGAGGGATGGGCAGCAGGCTGGTGACACGGAGGGCAGAGACAGAAGGTTGTGTTGGGATGGTAGCACAGGGAGGGTGGGGTGACGGCAGCTATCTCCACTTCCCCACTCCCACCCTTTTCCAGAAAAGCAACCCAGCCCCAACCAGCGGCCTCCCCGCCCCCTTCGCAGGAGGAAGCGCGGCTAGGAATCCGAACTAGGAATGCCAATTCAAGATGCCCCCCCTCGCTTCCCCCAAACCTCCGGCTACAGGTTAAGTGGCAAAAAATTGCTCCGGGCAAGTCACTGATTCAGGGGACGGGGGTGAAGAGAGATGAGCCCTGGAGGGGGGGGGGTAGCGGCAGGATCTTGCCGGGGGGAGATCCGAGGCGATCTACTTCACTGCATCTCATTCCAAGGATTGCAACATGAGGAGCTGCTTCAGGACCTTCGTCTGGCTGGTCTCTCGGATCTCGCCGGCTAGGAACATCTCGTCTACCACGGTGTAAACCTGCAGAGAAAATACAGTGGTACCTCGGGTTAAGTACTTAATTTGTTCCGGAGGTCCGTTCTTAATCTGAAACTGTTCTTAACCTGAAGCACCACTTTAGCACTTTAATTAATTTTTAGAATGTATTTATAATGTTGTACTGTTTTAGTGTTGTTAGCCGCCCTGAGCCCGGCTTCGGCTGGGGAGGGCGGGATATAAATAAAATTTATTATTATTATTATTATTATTATTATTATTATTATTATTATTATTATTAATGGGGCCTCCGGCTGCCGCCACGCCACCGGAGCACAATTTCTGTTCTCATCCTGAAGCAAAGTTCTTAACCCGAGGTACTATTTCTGGGTTAGCGGAGTCTGTAACCTGAAGCATATGTAACCCGAGGTACCAAGGTACATACGTTCCTCCTCTAAGAACGGGGGCGCATGTATGGGAATCCCCTGGAAAGAATCCAAAGCAGCGTGTGTCTGGACTTCTCTGCCACCTTTCCACAAGGGAGCAAAGGAAGTTTTTAATGTTTGATACAGTGGTACCTCGGGTTAAGAACTTAATTCGTTCTGGAGGTCCGTTCTTAACCTGAAACTCTTCTTAACCTGAAGCACCACTTTAGCTAATGGGGCCTCCCGCAGCCACCGCATGATTTCTGTTCTCATCCTGAAGCAAAGTTCTTAACCCAAGGTACTGCTTCTGGGTTAGCGGAGTCTGTAACCTGAAGCGTCTGTAACCCGAGGTACCACTGTATTTTACTCTTTTTTACATACAGTGGTACCTTGGTAGTCAAACTGCTTGGCTCCCGAACAAATCACCTCCCGAACGCCGTAAACCCGGAAGTGAGTGTTCTGGTTTGTGAACGTTTTTCAGAAGACGAATGTCCGGCGCAGCTTCCAATAGAGTGCAGGAAGCTCCTGCAGCCAATTGGAAGCCACACCTGGCTTTTCAAACCCTTTCAGGAGTCAAACAGACTCCCGGAACGGATTAAATTTGAGAACCAAGGTACCACTGTACGTTGAAAGCTGCCCAGGGTGGCTGTGGAAACCTAGCCAGATGTGTGGGGTATAAACAATAACAATATTATTATTAAAGGGTGCAAGACACAGCCACCCTCTGGTAGCAGATGGCCCAACACTGCTCCGACCCCACCCACCGGCGAGGTACCAGCAAGGTCCAGGTTTTGCCCAGCTGGTTGCAGCTTCCTAAAGGTCCAGACTTGGCCGCACTTCATGCCTCCTGCTCCACAACAAGGCTCTTCCTCCCCTTGGATTCCGTAGCAGGAAGCTCTTCCTTGCTCCACACTCCTTGCGGTGCATGAATTCTGGGCCTCCAGCTGGCAGGGAAATTTGGCCTTTTGCACGCTGGGTACCTCTCAAGTCCCATCACTGCTGGATGTCTCACTCATAGGTCTCACCCTTCCTTGACCCCCTCTCTGCTCCTCCTCTCAAGGTGCCAGAAACGAGGCCAGGAACACAGAAACTTCTTTCAGCGGCCACTGAATCAGATACAACTTCATAAAGTGCAGCCTTAGGCAGCTGTCTATCACCACCTTGTGGGCAGGGCTGGCACCAGCAGGTCACCCTGCCCCGTTCTTTGCTGGCGCTGTGCCCTGACTGTCTCAGAAACAGCATTTTCCTCAATTACCCTATTTTTCGCTCTATAAGACGCACCAGACCACCAGACGCACCTAGTTTTTGGAGGAGGAAAACAAGAAAAAAAATATTCTGAATCCCAGAAGCCAGAACAGCAAGAGGGATCGCTGTGCAGTGAAAGCAGCAATCCCTCTCGCTGTTCTGGCTTCTGGGATAGCTGCGCAGCCTGCATTCGCTCCATAAGACACATACACATTTCCCCTTACTTTTTAGGAGGGAGAAAGTGAGTCTTATAGAGCAAAAAATACGGTATTTATTTTACTTTTATAATAATAATAAAATTTTATTTATATCCCGCCCTCCCCAGCCGAAGCCGGGCTCAGAGCGGCTAACAACAATAAAAGTAACACATAATTCTAAAAGCAATTCAATTTTAAATCAATTCAAAATCAAATTCATGGCAACCATTGGGCTAGAGTTCTGTGAGGATTACTGAAGGAGGGGGTCAGACTGCACCTTGGCCAAAGGCCTGGTGGAACAGCTCTGTCTTGCAGGCCCTGCGGAAAGATGTCAAGTCCCGCAGGGCCCTAGTCTCTTGTGACAGCGCGTTCCACCAGATCGGGGCCACGGCCGAAAAAGCCCTGGCTCTGGTTGAGGCCAACCTAACCTCTCTGTGGCCCGGGACCTCTAAGATGTTTTTGTTTGAAGACCGTAAGGTCCTCCGTGGGACATACCAGGAGAGGCGGTCCCATGGCTACGAGGGTCCTAGGCTGTATAGGGCTTTAAAGGTTAAAACCAGCACCTTAAACCTGATCCTGTACTCCACTGGGAGCCAGTGCAGCTGGTATAGCAGCTTTAATTTAATTTAATGTAATTTAAAAGACTATGAACACATGATCCATGTAGGTGCACAGACTTAACCAAGCACAACACACCTTTTCTTTAAGGATGGCAAGAGTGTGTACCAAACCAGCATTCTTCCCTTTTTATTTCAGTGCCCCTTTTAAGTCAATTCCAATCTCATGGTTAGTTTTTCATTGAATTTACCTCTTAAGCTCGTTGCGCAGTGCCTGTAATCATGAGGCATATGAACTGTCAGGCTAAATAAAACAGACGAGAGCCCCAAGGTTTTTTTAGCCACGAGCGCGGTTTGTTTTCCTTCCTCATTCTGCCTTACTGGAAAAGGTCAGGGAACAAAAACCCACCTTGTAGAAGTTGAAGACGAGGTCGAGCTCACAGACGTTGTGGAAATATTCATTCAGCACCTGGGAAGAGAGGAGGAGGAGGAAGGGAGTCATGATTTTGGGGGGCCACAGTCATGTGCAAGGAAGGTGCCTAACATTTGCAAGGCCAGTCGTAGCTCAGCGGTGGAACGCTAATTTTGCAGTGTCTAGAGAAAAGGATCAGGAAAAGACCCTTATCTTTGCCACTGTGAATTGACAATACAGTGGTAAAAAGGTAAAGGTAAAGGGACCCCTAAACATTAGGTCCAGTCGTGGCCGACTCTGGGGTTGCGGCGCTCATCTCGCTTTACTGGCCGGTACTAGTGATACCGTTCAGAAATAATTTACCACCTCATCTGTGCAGAAGCGTCGCTTATCATGCCTGGGTGTGAAAGCACACATGCGTGGGCATTCTTGGGGCGCAGACTTAAGCCTGCAGGTACTACTCACCTCCACAAAGTTGTGAATGGCTTCTAGGTAGGCGAGGTTGTTGTCGTTCACGTCCACACAAATGCAGAAATAAAGCCCTGCGTAGCGCCTGTAGATAATTTTGAAGTTGCGGAACTGGGGGGGGGGGGGAGAGAGAGAGGGAAAAAAGGTGGTGAAAATAGCGATCACTGGATAGAAGCACAAGATGGTGTCTATTGCAGGTTAGGGTAGGACTGTGGA